ATGAGGTATTAAATTATGTATCTGTATTTTAGGTATTCATATTTTCATGTGTCAAATGTTCATATGTGTGAAAATAGTTGTAGCCAGGATGTTCAACTGTTTACAACATGAAGGCGTAATATTTTTCGTGTAAAAAAAACAATCTTTTGTACTGTATTTGATGTATCATGTATGTATGCAATCATTGGATATGTGTAAATAGTTGTACTTAGGATATACTCCTTACAAAATGGGCGCATAGACGTGGTGTAATGGTTGTTGAACTATTCTCGTTAGATAGATTTCAAGTGAGTAGTTATTTAAATTCTCATTGAGAGCTTCACACTTTCGACCTTTTGCCACACCTGAAAAGCGCTTAGAAAATCAGAAGACTTCTAGCAGACATAATTTATTTTCGTCTCAAAGAAAATTTATTCAGTTTGCCTTATATATATATATATATATATATATATATATATATATATATATATATATATATATATATATATATATATATATATATATATATATATATATATATATATATATATATATATATATATATATATATATATATATATACATATATATATATATATATATATATATACATATATATATATATATATATATATATATATATATATATATATATATATATATATATATATATATATATATATATATATATATATATATATATTTTTCAACACTTAGCGGAGACAGACTGATTTATGCTGAAACGCGATATTCAGGCTATTTTTACGCATTGGACACTAAGCATACTAGCATGTTTGCATGTTTCATTCGTAAATATGGCCTGAATATTGAGTTTTAGCATGAAACTCTGTCTCCGCTAAGTGTTGAAGGTAATATTAAAGAAAACAAGATTTGCAATTTACAATTCTAAGCTCCACATATAACATATCAGCTATTATTGCCTGGGTTGAGGCCACAACCGTGGAGCCTCATTAGTGAACAAACTAAACAATCTGTGTATTTGTCTACAATGTGAATTTACTAACCATTGCTACATGAAAGATAAAGATATAGGTGTATATATAAACCAAGCGGAGATAGGGAGACAAGTATTTCATTATTTATATTGACTTTATTTATCATAAAATCTGCACTCTTTTTAATCATTTTTTTTTCAAATTAGAGGGCTTGGTGAATTTCACACGTACAGTGTATATTCAAGGCAACAGAAAAACAGCGCACAAATTATGTAAAAATTTTGAGCAAACGTTTGACAAGAGAAGTGAGGAGTGACGTGACATACATAAAAAGATCTACAGCGATAGGTTAAGTTAAGGATAACTAGGATGGCCACGTCTAGCATGGACACGGAAACATCGAAGAAAGAGAAGATTAATACTAAAACCTATTATTGTTATAAAATCAATCACAAAAAAAAATCCACTGTTAATAACTAATCATTTTCTTATGAAATAAACCTTTTGTTCCAGGAGGAGAAAATATTTCTAGGGCTAGTCAGGTAAATCTGAATTAGGAGCTTTTAATGAACATTTCCGGATACTAAAATGGAGATCTGATGACAACATCACAAAAAGGAAAAAAAAAGCCATGGATTCAGTTAATTCACAGCGGAAATTGGTTATTCACAATTACGTTCTGTCTACTTATGTCTGTTTCAAGTAGTGGGAATTATAGACTGCTTTTTAGATTATGGAAGAGCATTTACGGAATGTCTACCTACAGATGAATTATTCATTCGTGTTTCGTGCATGCAGAAAAATATTAGTTGTGTATCTCAAGAGGAAATGTGCGTCTGCACGCATATATATATATATATATATATATATATATATATATATATATATATATATATATATATGGTGGTGCGGAAAAGCCCTCAACCTAAACAAGAAGGGTCAAAATATACATTTGCACATTTGATGAGATTCAAAAAAAAGTTTAACATAACGTGTGCTTTGAAGTTCACACCACACATATATAAATATATATATTTATAAACATATATATATATATATATATATATATATATATATATATATATATATATATATATATATATATATATATTTTTGATATTTATATATACCTAGGTATATATGTAGTCTTAAGAGATATATACGCGTTAGCCACTCCGTGGGTTTTTAATATTGTTAACGTGTTCTTCCTCAGTGTTTTTAATTACAAATTAGTTTAATTCTACCCATCAGTTTTTATATGTTAAATGTATATATGGATGGATGTGTTTTTTATAACTTTTACGTTATAATTTATTATATATATATATATATATATATATATATATATGTGTGTGTGTGTGTCTGTGGGTGTATGTTTATGTATGCATGTATGTATGTATATATATATATATATGTGTGTGTGTGTGTGTGTATGTATGTATATATGTATAGTTAGATAGATACGTTGTATATTTGTTTAAATGAGTGTGTGTGTGTATATATATGTATGGTTTTATGTATATATATTTCTGTGCACATATGTGTATGCCTATGTGTATGTGTGTGTATGTGAATATGCATACATAAGTGTATGTATATATATATATATATATATATATATATATATATATATATGCACACATATGTATGTATGTGCGAGTAAATATAGTCATGTTGTTTTGTATGTGGGTATCTACGTATCTGTTTTTGGGCATATAAATGGTAGGCCCTTATTAGATTAAATATTCGTTAATTTTTATGTTTTTTTATTAAATTTGTAAGCAGTAGGTGATATTACTTGCTTTATCAACTTTTCTTATTACACATCGTTTCTCTTATAGATACCGTTCGTTTTTAGTTACCTCCTCCCCATCATCCCTTTTTTTTCTTTTCTCTGTCTCTCATCTTCTAGAATTTAATTTGAGATCATATCGTGTTTTATTGTGCGTAGTGTCACCATAAACGTATACACACATTTCCGGTGTCGGTTTTTGAATTATAATTTAGGTCAGCGAATCGGTAGCGAATTATGCATTGAAAAATAATTCATATTTATCTGTATCTCACTCATTTAAACCGTTATTTAACTCATCTCTTTAAAACTACTCTCCGTTAAATTTTAATCCCCATTTTCCCCTTTAGGCCTTCCTGTTCTTCTTTCTTTTGTTACCCCTTTCTAGAGCTTCCATTTTCTTTCTCCCACTTGTCTCCTACCCCACACATACACTCTCACTAAAATTTTATTTTTTATAACGGGAGTTATATTTTCCGATTTCTTTTTGAATTTGTAGGTCCGATGAATTGGATCTTGATTACGATTCCAATGTAATAAATTATAACCATGGAATATTAGTGTTTGCCTTTTTTTATATATATTTATATATATATATATATATATATATATATATATATATATATATATATATGAACATTGAAGTCAACTTAGAGCGACAAAATGTTTCATGCTAGATGCAATCGTGGCCTGACAATTGTGTCTTTGCATGAAACAGTCTGTCGCCTCTAAGTGTTGACTTCAATATTCACTTTAATATTTACACACGCTCTATCTCTGATATTGAGCCTTTTATTCCATAAATTTAGCACACCTTAAGGGTATATTTCTTTATATATTTCTTCATATATATATATATATATATATATATATATATATATAGGTGTGTGTGTGTGTGTATATATATATATATATTTTAAGGTCAGATTCAATATATGCACAAAAACATTTATGCAGATATTCTGCAATCTTTATGTGTGGTCAGGGAGATCACAGAACATTTAATCGGCGTAATCAAATAAACATTCAAAATTGGCTTTAAGAGTAACAAAAATACATTTGATTATTAATAAATAAATAATTTCAAACAGAACTCTATTAATCTGTGAGATAATAATCGCAAAATATCGTGTTGGGATAAATGATGCAGAATTATAAGGACAATATCTACATATATTTTGATCTTCTAAGCGTGGCTCAGATGCGGCAAAATGCCCAAAATATAGGGCACCCAGTGAGGATCGCACTCGCTACATTGTCTTATTGGTTTATTTCGTGCGTAACGATATTCCAAAGAGTTATTTTTAAGCCACAATCTTTTGACTGGAAGAAATTTACCCCTGAGAACGAACCTGGTGCCTGTTCTGAGCTGCAACACTACAATTCCCAAGAAAAAAAAATGTATTATACGAAGAAAACTTTCAAAAGATTTATACTTTGTGAATACTGATTAAGAGGGGAAAATCTCATGAAATATCAATCGGGATCTACAATCTAACCGCCGCCCGAGAGGGACTGTTTCAGTTCAATCCAAAATATTTTGGCAAATATTCACCAAACTGTCAATAACGTTGCCGGTTCGCAATGATAAATTACTTCGGAGTTTTACATTTTTTTGAATTGCATAACGCCTAGCCTAGCTCTTTAATATCAATGCTATTCTCGAGCAGCCATTTTTAGTGATAGCGAACAGCGCTTTTTGTTGTCCCTTGATGAATGCGCGATCCACTTAGTAAACGTTAAAATACGTGATTACATAAACTTTTAAAAAAATCAAACTTTTATCCATTTAAACTTCATTAGCTGTTTGAATAAAAAGAAAACGAAGAAAAAAGATAAGAAAAGAGGACTGCTTCATATAAAGACATTCATGAACAGAAGCAAAATGAATAGAAAAAAATAATATAGAAAATTACTTCGGACATTTGACTCGTATGATATAACAGCTGGATATGAGTAAAAAAAGTGAAATCAAATGAAATAGAAATAATAGAAACAAATGCGGAAACCTTTCCGCAGCCACTGGGGTCTGATGTCAAAATGATTGAGTTGAAATCAATAGGAAGACAAATAAAATAATATAAAAGAATTCTTTCAGACTTCATGTCCCTGTGCACCATGTGATATGATACTGGCGGGAGATTTTGCTCATGTTCATTGTTCTCTTAGTCAGTCATAGTTGAACAATGTGTTGTTTTTTGCGTCCTTAAATTTTAGCCTGACGCTACTTTCTCCGATGTTCAGCAATCTATGGAAGGTCATACTGGCTGCAATTAGTATCCAGGCAGTGATTCGTCGCCGCCGGTTGGAGATGAAAGCAAAAGCAACGAATAAGTGAAGATGTGGTGGCGGTGTTCGATGAGGGATAAGAGAAATAATTGATCTGATTTGAAAGGAAGAATTTGGAGCTTGATTTTCTATTCTCTTCGATTCGTGTCCACAAGTAACTGAAGCAAATTCTACCATTGTATTGTTTCTCTGCCTAAAAGCTTGATTCTAAATGACTCTTCTAAATACAGTTGTAAAATCAAGCGCTTACACAGTAACGCATGCACACATAGAGAAACGCCAAAGCAAGAGCTTCCACACGAACACATAGAGGCCTACGGCTACATCACATTAAAACATTGATTCGCGTTCGAAGTTAAGCAACATCGAGCGTGGTTAGTACTTAGATGGATAGCCGAATTTGTATAACAGATGCTGTAAGCATGGATGTGTGGATAGTGTGATAGATAAAGGCTTGGAATTATTAAACTGAGAGCCGAGTTTCAATTCCGTATTGTTTTATTATGTTCACTTACGCGCAAATATTCTTAGAAAAGGTATGAATCCATCTTATCTCCCCAGTTATGGGTTAATTAGTTAGATGTTTATCACTTATTAAAACCCTTACTATTAAAAAAAATAAAATAGAATTGCGTGCAAATATTTAAATTTCAGCATTAATAACCCAAAGAGGTTGATATGTGGGCAACAAAAGCAACTGACGAACACATAGGGAAGTTTACAGGCATAAACACAAAAAACGCATTTTTAAACAGAAATCTGCATCAAATATGCGTATACATAAAAAAAAAATCCCGAAACAAAATGAGTTTTAATAAGAGAGACACCTTAGGACATTAGTTCGTGCAGTTAGTACCTTTCTCACGAGGTGCAAAGTTATTGTGGCTTCGTGCCAGGGTAAGTTAAGTTTGAAGAATTTAAAAAGTTGTTGACCAAAGAGCAAGTGTTAGGAAGCACATCTCGTGGTCCAATTAGCCTGCGTCGTAAAGTATGTCGTTAAGTGTGTGCTTCTAATATCGCCGTCCACCACACAAAGCTATTAAATAGCTATAAGATCGTGAACTCGCGCATACCACCACGTGCTATCAGTTGCATCCTTGGGCATGTCAGATTGATTATATTCACTGTAAATAGATTCTACAAATATCGAGCACGCCGACATTCGAAAATCACTTGTATTATTACAGATTCTCATGTTTCTCTAAGAAAAGAAAGCCTTACCCTTAGCGTTTATTGCATTTCACTGTGTATAACTTTTCTCTGAGTATAAATATTTATTTAGAATCAACATTGTTACTCGTGTTGTTGCATCTCTCTTTCTTATTGACTGTGATTTTCTTGATGTCTGATGTGTATGTGTGTGTGCGCGCGAAAGAGAGAGAAACAGGGCGAGAGAGAAATAGATAAACAAAGCGAGAGAGGGGAAAACAGTGAGCGAAACATAGTGGGAGAGAGAGACAGAGCGAGAGACAAATAGATAAAGAGTGCGAGAGAGGGGGAATCATTGAGCGAAACATAGTGAGGGAGAGAAACAGAGCGAGAGAGAAACAGATAGAGAGAGTGGCGAAAGAGTGAGCGAAACATAGCGGGAGAGAGAGCGAGCGAAAGAAAGAGAGAGAAACAGAGTTAGAGAGAGAAACAGATCGAGAGAGAGAGAGCAATAGAGCGAGTGAGCGAGCGAGAGAAAGAGAGAGAAACAGATCGAGAGAGAGAGAGAGCAATAGAGCGAGCGAGAGAAAGAGAGAGAAGCAGATCGAGAGAGAGAGAGCAATAGAGCGAGCGAGAGAAAGAGAGAGAAACAGATCGAGAGAGAGAGAGCAATAGAGCGAGCGAGAGAAAGTGAGAGAAACAGATCGAGAGAGAGAGAGAGAGAGAGAGAGAGAGCAACAGAGCGAGCGAGAGAAATAGAGAGAAACAGAGTTAGAGAAACAGAGAGTGAGAGAAAGAGAGAGAGCAATAGAGCAAGCGAGAGAAAGAGAGAGAAACAGAGTGAAAAAGAGAAAGATTTTATTGCATTCCTTTTCTGACCTGATTAATTTTTAATGTCATGACGTGCCGGGATCTCAAAATCTGAGATTTTATCATTTGATTGAACGAGATTCTATTTACACTACAGGCCTGGAAACCAACGTGTAGGCTAGTAAGTGAATGCATGGTTCCGTTATGTATATTCATCTCGCCAAGTAACTTTTGTATTGACGTTGAAGCCCCTTATACTTAACCCAGTAAGATATGGCGCACAAAATATCCCCAAAGTCCGCTGTAATATCAATTTGTTTCCGTCTAAATAAGCCAAGTGAAACCAAGAAAATCTCCTATCAATAAAAAAATATTGCAATAAAGTGACGATTGAAATTCATAATGAATATTAGTAATCGTATCTACATACACAAGATGGAAGAATTATCAGCATTGGGACGCATTAGGATTTTAAAAATCATTAACACAAATGTGCCGAAAATTATTCTTATCCTTCACTAAATTACACCGTTTTATATATATATATATATATATATATATATATATGTGTGTGTGTGTGTGTGTGTGTGTGTGTGTGTGTGTGTGTGTGTGTGTGTGTGTGTGTGAAAAAATATATAGAAAATAGGAAAGAACTCGTTAGGTAAATAATACAAAAGTTCTTTAGTATTTTTGTTATTATTTTAAAAATAGTGCTCCATACAAAAGTAGACCATAAATATAATTATTTATTTAAAATTATTATTAAAATTATTTATTTAAATTATTTATTTAAAATTATTATTAAAATTATTTATTTGGAATCATATTTTCAAATAAATAATTATATATATATATATATATATACGTCCTGATATCCACAACATTTTAATTTTTAAGTGTATTAAATATCAGTATCGTATCAGATGAAACGTCGCTAATAAATTTGCTTCCCGTTTTCTTCAATATGTGCTCTACAAAATACTGCATTTTTTCCCGCCAACAAGGATATGAAATTTCGATAATCTATGACGAGAAATATTTTGTAAAAAGCATTTGCTTAATCGGCAAAATTTCCTCGTTGCTGAGTCAGTATAGGCAGCTCGGATCTTACGACATATCCTACTAGTGTCCTTATGAGAAATGGAAATTTACAAGAGTATGAACATATATAGCTTTTAGCAGCCAGTATGAATTTCTGTTTCCATTATGTGCACAATGTTAATGTCGATTGCAAAGCTTGTAGACTATTCTGCGGTTTAATTTATATGCCATATAAATTTTCACCGCCATTTTTTTCAGAAGCAGAACAAAAGTAGAGCCTAAATATAGTTATTTTTTAAAAAAAAATATGATTCCATTGAATTAAATTGAATTAAAGTACCAAGCTCCGTTACATCTTCAAGCGATTTTTTTTAAAAAACAAAACAAAAAAAAAACAAATTTCGCTTGAAGATGGAACAGAGCTTGGTACTTTAATTCAATTCAAATAATTATATTGAAGTTTTCGGCTCTTGTTTTGAAACGTGAGAACTCTTATGTAGCGATGGAATCATTTCTAAATAAATAATTTTATATATATAATATATATATATATATATATATATATATATATATATATATGCGTGTGTGTGTGTGTGTGTTTATATTACTATTACTCCAGGACTTTTTAACTTAAAGACTGTAATAAATGACTGAAAATTGTACTACCCAATAGATTTGTATAAATGTAAGTTTTCAAAAAAAGTTCAAATTAATTTAAGTTCTCGAGTGTGATAAATTACATACAATGAACAATTGAAACTACTAGGTAACCTTGATATGTTGTGGAAGGTTATTAGTATAATCCAGAACATATGATGGGAGCAAAGCACCTGGATAACGACAGAATATGAATTCAGTAAATATATAAAAAAACATACAAAGTGCTGTCTCACCGTAATTATTCAACCTATAGACTGAGGCGATTCTAAGATAATTGAAACCCTACAAGAATTCAGTACCAGCGCCAACAATCTTAACAACATAAAATATGCAGAGGGTACAATATTGATAGCAACACGTAATGAAACTACAATGATTCTTCGAGAAGTAAGTGAAGATAAAGCGAGACGAAAGGATTAAATATCTATTGCCGTAAACAGAATGCATCGTTTTGCAAAAAGAACAGCCCATTAGGCAAAATTAACAATTGGGCATAGCAAAATGGTACAAGTACAACAATTTAAATATATGCGATGCGTTTTAACAGAAGATGAAAAGTGAAATACCGAAAACGGAATTGTATTAGTATAGCGAATGAGGACTTTCATAAGCTAAGCAATGTATTAAGAAAAAGGACAAAAAAAAAATAAAGAAAAGAGTACTGATACTTAATATCTGTTCTCCTTTATGGAATTGAATGCTGCACAGTCACATCGAAGAGGAAGAAGGGACTTGTGGAAAGAAAAATATGCTTTCTACAGAAATAGGCTGAAAATATCATGAACTGAATATGTGAGCAACGACCGAGTTTTCGAGAAAATGGAATGAAAAAGGAAAGTTATACATGACATCAGAAAGAAGCGGTTGATATTTGTATGGTAAATAAAGAAGAACGACTGTAAAATTTGATAGTGACATAACATACTGAAGGCAAGGGCGCGAGGAGAAAACAGCGCATCGCTTCTCCAACGAGCCAGTGAATATAGATAGCAAAACAATGTCCAAGAGAAATGACAAAAAACATCAAATTTACTAAGAGATACAAAAGACAGGGTGTTGTGGAGAGCCATAATCGCCAATAATTTAAAGGGATACAGCACATAGAAGAAGAAAAAAGTAAATATAAAGAAACAAAAAGACATTGAAGAATAAAAACAAAGGTTAAGACATGAAAACAATTATTTCTTTTAAGTAAACACCACAAATAAACATATTTAATTTAGGCGAAATAATAGAGAAAAAAATAATTTTCCGACATTATTTTATCGATGAATATAAGACAGCACATAGTATACATGATATATGGACAGGGAGTTGAGTACTTCATGGAAAGAATCCACTATGAAGACTTAAAGTAAAGCAATAATATGTGAAGTAATTTTTTAGCTATATATGCAGGAGGTAGATTTATACGTCATATCATAGAACATGTCACCCTAAGATCAAAGCTTAATATAATTTAAGAATAGCCATTGCGAATCGTACAAACAACAACAAGCTAAAATGTATATTTATGCAGGAGAGTCATTTAACTTTTAAATAGCTGACTATTAACCAATTTGTCAAAAAAATGATTTCAAATGCACGAAAGTTATTGTGTTGCTGCTGTCTCTCCAGATCTTTCTCAAAAGTGACTATTCTTTTACATTAGTAAAGGGATTGATATAGGACTGGAAAATTCTGTTCATTTAAAGATATTAAAGTTATTTAAAAAAGCAAATATTTCCATATAGAATGAGATTTAGTTTTGGGATATACTATGTCAAAATTTTCGAATAGTTTTTATATAGCATTTGCTGCGTATGCTAATGAATATTATCTTGCCCAATGAAGGACCCAGGGACTGGAAATATCTCAGAAAGAAAAAAATATGTTCAATAATAATCTTATACTTACGCCAATTATTTTGTCATATAACCAAATTTGTATACCAAAACCTGCGATACAGATCACCCTTATACTATTACATTCCAGCCTCCGAATTTAACTGATTTATTCGCACATTTGGGAATTAATTTCTCACCCTTATGCCATCAGATATACTTCACACCATCGGTGCAAACTAAATTAATCTTTCAGTGGTGAAGATTACATTCACTCAATATTTATCTGTTCAGAAAAATATTCGTTTGCAAAAGCAACTCTAGCTTTTTGTTTATTCTTGCTGATTAGAGTTGTTTGGCGACTGGGGCAAATGCATGAATATTTGTTTAACAAAAAAAATAATATAAAAAGAAATATATATAACAAAAACAAGTCACTATCAGGTGAGAAATATGCCATTTTTTTCAGTTATCTGTTGCAAAAAAATGCATACTGCTGTTTCAAAAGTAATTAATATGGACAGACTTTGACTTTCCAAGTTCTGCAGTGAATTTGTATTATGTAGTCGGGAAAGTGTCTTCGGTAATTTAAAGGAGACAATACATTTCTAAAGTTTTAATTTTAAACATCTAAATCTTAAAAGTCAAAAGAAGTCCAAGCTATTCTGAAATCAATATTTTTCTAACTGACCTACGTCTGATAGATTGGAATTTGACATCTTTTTGTTTTATTACATCCCAGGTACTTCATAATCTATTATTTTCACATAATTATATCGAAGGCAAACTGAACACTTCTGTTAAATATGCACTAATTTACCTTAACTTAATTCCGTTTTTCTCGAGTCTAAAGGGAATTTAGGTTTGTTTATTATATCTGTTGCCAAATATTAAACTTAATTTCATGAGAGTCAATTTCAGCTATTAAACATTAGGTAGCGCTTATTTACATTTTTATTTTAAATAATAGTGTTAGCTGAAAGAAAGCTCAAAATTTATTCGAAGAATAAAAGAAATAATGCTAAATACAATTAATCAGAATTCATTTTACAATGAGAATTAATCTAAAGATCCTCGAGGGTATAATAGTAATATTTGCGAAAATGATTTTCTTGGAAAATGGTTCAATATTTTATATGAATGATATAATTTTATGAACGTTTATAATTAATTTGACATCTATTCATCATTTAAATATGTCGCTTTAGTCTCTCATGATTGACTTTCTAATCGTCATTTACTAAACTTAGCTTATTTTATCTGTATGTATGTTGACAGACATAGTGATGGAAATCTAATTAGTAGCAACCGGTAATTGTTGTCTCGATAACCAGAATCTGTTACAGAATGCGGAGGCTTGACCAGGAAAGAAGGCGATTGTCCAGCATACCTCGTGTTCGTGGAGCTCTGACAGTGAGGGATTGCCTTTGTCTAAGTTTTGGATATAAGACCAAAATGGTGCGAAGTCGACGTAGGGTTGCAAGAAATTTGAAACTTCGACACGCTTTCTGCACAAGATTCCTTAGAGAGCTTATTCCGCACGTAAGGGAATGCGGCGAAGAGAACTAGTGAGCATGTGTTCCGCTGAATATATTCTACTGCTACCTCCTGGAATCAATGTTATCACGTCCGTCGCTGTCGCATAATAAAAAGAATAAGAAAAATAAATCGTCTTTCAGTCCATGAATTGGCGTTGGATTATGAAGGACTAAGTTTAGTGGCGACAGGGAACGGATCAAAAATCAGAGTCATCTTGAAAAAAGATGCTTAATCACTGACTAGCTTGGCATAATTCATAAGAGTTAATTATTGTCGTTTCTGAAGAGAGGAATATGATATTTAATACATTGGTGTGATATTTTAATTAGTCGCACGTCCTAAAGTAAAAAGTTTATGAAACTTTAATTTGGTAAATCACTACATATGCCTAGTTTGGAGATTGCAAATTGTACAGATGTTTATCAAAGTCGCTACCTTCATAATGTGAACTGATTATTTTTTCTGGGAAAGCAAACGAAGTTGCTGAACCAGATAATCGTGTATTATTAAGAGAGTTCATTTTTGATCAGGATTTTTTTTTCTTAATTGTGAGATGCAATCTAATTAAAATATTTGTACGCGGAGTAAGAGTGTTTTCCTCTTCTTTATTTCTAATTTTATTACAGAGAAAAAAAAAAGAAAAGCTAGAGTAAGTAGTTACCTAATGGAAACAGACTACAGTTACTTTACTTTCTTTTAGTGATATTGCAAAGTGATTGGTTTCTTCGGTAGAAACACAGCATCGATCTCCCAAGTTTCAGCACATATCTCTTATTTGATCAAGCTAAACGCTGACAGTTATTGTTATCCGTTAGAGACGATTCATATCGAAGATGTCTTGAAAAGATTTCAGGTGTTTGCTAAAGTCCAGATCACTGAAACGAGAAATAGGTTTGTCAAAACGAAGGTTACGTTAGTAGATTTCTCTAGGCAACGATTCTATCTTTTCTCGCGGCTAAGTTTGGTTGCGGTTTGATGGAATGTGGACAGATTCGTTTTCTGATTTGTTTGAGTAAGGAAAAATTATTGGCACGCAAGACAAATAAACAAAAT